ATTGTTAAAAGTAAAAGGAAGGAATATAAAGTTGGTTTATTTGATTAAGGTTAAAATAGATGTGTTGTTATTTCTGGTAACCCTTAGTGGACTTTTGCTGACGTCAAGACTGAAATGATGAGGCTTTAAGGATTTGTTTATAGCTAAGAGTGGGATATGGGAAGAAGAGATCATTTGTTGTATTTTAAGACAAGGTGATGTTACTAACCTTGTTTTGAAAAGGGAAGTCATTTCTTTACTTATTTCTTTTTCTTTACTATATTCTTATTTTTCTTTTCTATTTTTTCTATTTTCTTTTTCTTTTCTGCATCTTCTATTTTTTCTTTTATTTTCTCTTTTTTAGTTTGTATTAATTTTTCATCAATGTAATTTTTAATAAAATTACTATGAAATAAACCAGTTGGGGTCAGTAAGTGAGGACTATGTACTATCAATATTCATGAGGCATATGGAGTAAAACAATGGCAGCAAAGCAATATAATCTTGGGAGTTTTCTTCTTTTAAATTAATGTATAATTCACATTAAATTTTCTCTAAATATGATCACATAATTCACCATATATTCACACTGCTCCAGTTAATGAGGGAAAAATCAGTCCTCAATTGCCTATCTTGAATACTGTTCCAAATGCCTTGCATAACTAGCTTCAGAGTATGTCCCATTGTACAGTGAATGACCTCACCCTTCAAAATTGCCTGGCAAATTTCCTATCTTCTCCTAAGAGTACTGAGCCAATATAAAGCAACATTCTGAAACTGAAGTAAGTGGCAGAGGTCCCCACCCACTTTATGAATAGACATCATCTTCTTTTTCCAGGAGTAGATAGAACCTCTGTCCATTAACTGTAATTTTGGAGAATTTCATTGAGATCTGTAGTTATCTTTTAAGTACAGCTAAACTGAATTACTTAATTTCATTAAGTTCTAAAATTTTGTATGTAATAGTACAACATATTCTGAATCTTGCAAGTCTGAAAATAGAAATCTCCCACAGTCTCTTTTTACAGCCTGATAGGTTAGGGAGGATCCTTTCTGAGTTTCTTTCTCTGCCCATAATGCAGCTTTGGCTATGCATCGTCCCCTTAGCTGATCATTCCCTGGGCAGCATCTCTTCCCCCTGTTTCACAAGGCCATTCCCACATACCATTAAAGGTCCAGATAAATTCAGAATATAGAAACTTTTACGATAACATTTTAGAATTAACTGTAAAGAACAAATGACTTCTTGTGGGAAATAGATCTGTTTTGGTTTTTGCAAGACATAAGATAAGTAATTTTGTTATTTTAAAAACTGGACATTAGAGGGGACTAAAGATTCTAGGCAGAGGAAAAAAAACCACAAGCCTACCTTTTGTGTTAATTAACTGGGACCTACAAAATTATGCAAAATGTTATAACCTTGAAAATACTAAAGGAAACTTTTGAAGAATGGAGCCAGAAATTAGTAGCCACAATATCAACAGTGTCAGTCATGATGTCTGCCTGCATGGATAGACTATGTCCAAAAGATGTTATTGAAGAAATGACAGATGTGGAACAAATTTTATTTGACAAGATAGAGATAGTATTGAAGGTGGATTTACAAATGACAGGCCAAAAGAAAGACTTGGAAAGTATGTCTTACTGGATATACAAAAGAAACTGGCTGAAGTTTTAAAAATCAAAAGGGAAATATAAATGATAAACCAAGAAAGTGACCTGGATAATTTTTCCTTATTGGTTTTACAAAAGGGGCTTGTTAAAGCCTTGAAGAACTTTGGGCAATGGGACAAAGAAGAAATGAGGAGAAATCAAATCCTATGACAATATTTGAATGAACTAAAAATTAAGACTGTTAGAAAAAAAAGGAAGAAATATAAAGTCAGTTTATTTGATCAAGGCTAAAACAAGATATGTTGTTACTTCTGGAAACCCTTTATAGACTTTCTGCTGACACCAGGACTGAAAAGATGTTTTATGGATTTGCATATAGATAAGGGATGGGATAAGGGATGAAGAGATAATTGTTTGTAACCTTAGAGGGGGTGAAGAGTCACTTAATTTGTTTACACTTGTGATGAAGGTTGGAAGTCACTTCTTTACATATTTCTTTTCTCTTTATTATATTCTTACTTTTCTTTCATCTCTCTTTTTTCCTTTTTCCTTGTGCTTTTTACTCTTTCTATTCTGTTTTGTTTAGTTTGTGTTAGATTTTACTATTATAATCAAAATTCTTAATAAAAATTATATAATTTTTGTCTTTGGAGAGTTGAAAAAGTAGAATTCATTGGGAAGCAACAACATTTTTTAAAAGTGTCATAATTCTCTATACCAATTAAAAGAGATTGACCAAAAAGTCTGTTATAAATGCTTGAAAAGCTAAGATCCTCAAATGTATACAATTCTATTTTAATAAATATGTAGAATACTAAAAATAAGAGAAAGTGTTATATATTTCCCTGGTAATCTAGAATAAAATTGTCAACCTCCTTTCCTGTATGACCAT